AGTGCGCCTGGACCCAGAGCCGGTCATGTGCCAGTCTCCACGACAACTCGGGGGTATGTGCGAGCGCCCCGCTCCGAGCCAGATGCTTCCCGGCTCATGAGATCTAATTAGACGGGAGCCCCCCCCCGGCCCCCGCCTCCCGTTGCGAGGAAGCGCAGCCGCGTCAACGGGCTCCGTGGCCGAGGTGCAAAAGGGAGCCGGAGTGGGAGCGGTGGGGCCCGCGCGCCGGCCCCTTCGCGCATCCCAGGCACCCACCACACAGGCGGAGGCGGCTGCACGCGGCCAGGAAGGGCTGCGGCTCCTCGAGCATCTCCAGCCGTTTTCGAGGCGGGGAGAGCAGCCCGCCCGCGATCTCTGCAGATAAGCCGACCGCCACACGCACAGGCGTGGTGGCGGAGGGCCCAGAAGCTGCACCCCATCCCCGGGCAGAGCCAGCCCACATCCCCCTTGCAAGCCTTCGGCCCCATGTGGGGTCCTTCTGACGCCGCTTTGCAATGCTGGCGTGGCGCCACCCCACGGCCCGTCGCCCCTGCCGCCTCGCTGCCCCCGTGGTCCAGTCGCTCGGCCGCTGGTCCGCTGGTTCCTCCCCGCTTGGAGAGGCTCTGCCGCGGCAGAGGGGGAAGTCCTGCCCTGGAAGGTTGCTGTTCTTTTGACACCGGTCCGGTGACCTCGGCGGGTCCTGTACAGATGAGATACCCATCATAAATAGGTTGCGTTTCCTTGGATAATTAGGTTTCCGTGGAGACCATTTCTCCAGCGGCAACCGAGAAATGCGACGGTTCCCCAGCTACCTTCCATCGCCACCTTTGATTAACCTTCCTGCAACTCCGGCCCTGAAGACCGCCGCCTCCCCCGGCCCATCTTTCCCGTCCGGCTGCGAATCCCATCATGCGGTCAATTAGCAGGTGGAGGTTTTGCGTGGGGCGTTGCTGCGGCCGGCGGAGCTAAGAGGGCCGCACTCCTGCCCCCAGGCTTTACTTCGTGCCTGTGGGGAGAAGCCGCATCGTGGGGTCTCTGGTCTGGTGGTGGGATGCCCAGACTTGGTCGGGAAACGGCTGCGGACCCATCCCGAAATGGGTCTGTGGGCATTGCAGCCGGGTCTGTGGGAATGGGGTGGGGTATAAATAATAAGATTAGCACATTTATGATTGGTGGGTCACTAGTTTGATGGAGATCTTTTGTGGCTGCGGAGCTCAGGCGCCATCTTCTTTAGCGGACTCTTTTATTTCGCGTTCGTTGGACAATGCAACATCTCTCGTTAATGAAGAGTCGTCTGATTCGGTCGATCGCTGGCAGTGCATTACAGTTCATATTTCTTTTAAATGCAAGTTCTGATGGTGTCCAGAGGCTGCTTTTTTGGGGAGAAGCCATTACACACGTAAATGTTGGGTTGGAAACTGCCCCCTAAACTAACGTACCCACTCTTTTAAATTATTTACCTGCTTTGTGGAAATTACCAAATTGATTCTCTGTGCCCTTTAGCCCCCTAAAAGACAGATCCTGTAACACTAGATAAAGCCTCATTTCCCATAATGCAGTTTTCCTGAGGGACCTTACTACACTTTCAATATTTGAACAGGTGGCATATACATGGATACTTATATCCAGATAGATACCTGTATCCAAATGTCTGATCTGCTTTTGTGGAGGCCTATATATAACAGCTAGAAAATTGCAGGCATCTCATCTGCATACATTGCTGTGGATATAGAAACGTAGAAATGAGCGAGTCGGAAGGGGTCTTCTGGGTCATCTAGTCTGACCCCCGGCTCCAGCCGGCTCCACTCATGACACGCCTATCGTGTGCACGCCCAGCCTATCCTTGACCACCCTCACCAATGGGGCTTCAACCACCTCCTGTGGAAGCCCATTCCATGCCCTCGGGGTCCTGACTCTCAGGAAATGCTTCCTGGCATCTAACTTGAACCTTGGTTCCCTGAGCTTTGCTCCGTTGGAGCGCATCCTGCCCTCCTCTATATAAAATCCATACAGGCTTACCTTTCAAAAAGAAGGAGAAAACCGGAAAATAAACAGAACGGCTTCCTGGATGCCAGGATCTTTGCGAGAGAGCGTATGCGCCTCATGCACCAAGTCTTGGGTTCAGTCCCCGGCTTCTCACTCAATGGCCAAGAAGCAAGGGACATGCAGGGCCGTTCTCTTCCCGACGGGCTGGGCAGGTGTCCCCCGACTGGGTAGCAGTTTGCTATTTAGGGCAAGAAATCCTAAACCAAGAGCTGCTTCGCAGTGGAGCGGTGCAGCAGGGGGCGTGCAGGCCCTCTTTAGCTGCGGGGCCGTAATGAACCACGCTTTACGCAGCCGGGCATTCCCTTCCCACCCCGATTCTTCGTCCCGGCAGGCAAGCGGGCTGGCTGGTCTGGATTTCTCGGCTGTCCCTGCCCAGTGCCCGAGAATGGGAAGGCTCATAAACAGAAAAGGCAGCCTGCATGTCAGACTTCTATCGTTCACTGGGGTCTAAGATGTTAAATAAAATCTGTGCTTTTTTTAAAAGTTGGAGCATGGAGGAGAGCCGCGTCTGGTGGGTCTAATTAAACGCGTGGCCCATTTATCCTTGATGGGCTGCCGCCCTGGCCCGGTACTCAGGGCTCTGCGTAGCAGGCATCCTTCAAGTCAAAACTGCTCTGCAGATTCATTTTCTCCCTCTTAATAGAGTTCATATGCAAAATGCAGAATCCCATCTGAGACGAGCAAGCCCCACGCCGTTCCTGTTGCGTCCTTAGCTGTCGCAGATACTTTTCCTGAGTGCGTAAAAGTTCCGTTGTGGCTTTAGTGTGCCTTAAGGTGCTGTATGAGGATGCTGCATTTAGAAATGTTTGTAGAATTCAGCCCTGAAATGGGCGGCAGGGGAAGTATTAACGGAGCCGCTCCTGCGTCGTCACAGAAAATGGTTGCCTATGCAAATTGCCGTGTCAGTCTGGTTATTTTTCAGCACCTACAGAGCAGTCAGTGCCTCGATGCCTTTCTTGTCTGAACTGGCAGAAAATGTGGGGAAGAGGAAGCGGGGCAGCAGAGCAAAGCCCGGCCCGTTCTCTCGCTCTCCGTCTGCTTCTAGCGGCAGCGGCTGGTGTCTCCCGACCTGCAGTTAGTCTGAGGTTCACGTGAACGTCTGTGTTGTCCTTGTTAAGCCCAGATTAAAGGACCTTCTCCAAGCCAATCGGTTGGGAGGGGTCTGTCCAAGCTGTGTTTCCAGATCGCCTTGAGGGGTCCCTTCCAACTTTGAGAATGAGCCTCGGGAACGGTTCAGTCTGATTCAGGCCCTGGCCAGCCTACGAACCCAGACTGCAGTGAGATTCTCCGCCTTGCAGGGGCTTCTGACGCCTTCAGGAGCAACCTGGGCACAGGGGCTTTTGTACGGGGTCTGGCATCGCCGTTCTTAAGCATTACAAACAGAAGCTCTTCTGTGCTTGGACCCCTGGAGCCGGCTTTGAACATAACTGAGGCGATGCCCGGTTTTCTAAGACGAGTTCCGCCGCTCGGGACCTCAGTTTACCATCACGGGTGTGGAGTCACGTGCCGCGAACAGACCACGACTGCTTAGCTGAAGAGCTTCCAGTGTCCGCAAGCCAGAGCTCCTCTTTCAGAGTTCTGCCTTGCCGTTGGCAGTGAAGCCGGGGGTGGCCGAGTTGTCCACTGGGAGGGAGAGGGCGAGGGAGGTAAGCCTGGCCTGGACATTCCCCTCCGGATCCCTTGGCCACTTCGCGTAGCTTGTGAGCCTCCGATGGCATCGATGTCGGTGGAATTCGTTTTAGTTCCAGGTTGCAGCTCCCCCAAAGGAGGAAAAGCCGAAGGAAGGCAGGACTGCCTTTATGCTTGCTTGCTTTTCTGCTGTGTGTGGGTGGAAGTTCAGGGAAAGAGACGGGGGCCCCTTGGCTGATGTGTAGCTGGCTTCACCATGGCTTCACCATTTCCACAGGCAACATTTCCATCCCCCTGATCAAGATGCAAAAAAAGCCCAGGATTGTGATATTTAAGATAGGAAGGTCCATGTTTTTTGAAACAGCCAAGCAGGTGTTCCAATTTCTTTTGGTTCCCTCAAAGGCAAAAGCCTTCCTTTTTCTATGAACAACCCCCAACGCAACCCTGTGCAGCCGATGTTGGTTGAACAACATCCGTCCAAGATCCCCAGCGTCATCTGTGTTCTGAAGGTTGGCACAGGGCGAGCGCTGAAGAATTGACCGGCCGGCCCACAGTGGCCACGGAAGTGTGTGGTGGAAACAGTCCCCATGTTGGCCACTCTCTGCTTCTTAGCATGCCGTTGGGAGTATTTCACCAGTGTGAATGATGGGTTTTCGCATGCAAAATGGTCGGCTTGCAGGGGAGAGCTTTGACGGCAGAGAAGATCTGAGAAGGAAGGATGGGGTACCGCAAGGAGAGACAGGCCTGGCAGAGGTTCCTCTGGCACTTCTTTTCCAAAGCAGAAAGTCGAGCAGAGTTGCAAATGGCTGAATGGTCATTCTGAAAAGCAGTCATTGCGACTAAAATCTAGATCCTTTTCTGTTACTTTGTGTGGCCTGCGCCCAGGAGCAGGTGAGCTGTCCAGAAACAGGAGGGCAGGTAGAAAGAGGGACTAGAAAACTCCTTTTGCACAGCAGGGGGAGGGAAGTAATTCCTCCTGTTCCAGGGCTCCTGGCTCCACCTTTTCTCCCCAGTTCTGAGCTTAATAATTAAGAACGACGAGTGCAGTTTCATCAGATCTAGGATCAGAGCACTAAATGTTTTAAACGTGTCAGTCGGAGGCGAGGCGAACGCCGTGCGTGACTCCTGAATCGCGCTGCAATGGGGGTGCAGGAGAAGAGGAGGCGTGAGAGGGGTCTCCGTGTGGGGACGAGCCCCAGCCTCGTCCCCTGGGGGAGCAGAATGCGTCGCTCCGTCCCGGGGCTGGGATTCAGGGGGAGATGCTGTCTGAGCGAGCCGCCTGTTGCACTCTTGGCGCCCTTGGTGTGGCGCTCGCACTGACGCCCTCCCCACAACCTCTTTCCCAGGGGGAGCCCATCACCTTCTGTGAAGAAACGTTTATCTCCCACCGGTCTGCCGCCATGCGGCAATTCCTGCAGAACGCCATCCAGCTGCAGCTTTTCAAACAGGTATTATGGGTTATTAGGGAGCAGGGTTCCTCTCCGCCCGGGCTTGGTGGACCACGGTCGTGCTGAGCTGTGCACCGCGAAATATGGCTGGCTGCGTTGCTCTCTAATTAGTGTAATTTATGGGTCAAAATGGAATGTCTTCTACATTTTCCCCACTTAGCTGATGATCCATTTTCACGACTGTGGCAGCGAGAGTATTGTTTGCCCGTTTCCTTCCTCTCCCAGGCCCCCACTGGGAGCAAAACCTGCCCCCCATGGCAGGTGCCGCCCTCTAATTTTCCACGGGGGGCGCGAGGAGGTGGGGACGGTTCTGTCAAGGAAGGTTCAGTTCTGGAGCAGTGGACCCTGCAGCTCCAACGACACAAAACGTGGGTGTTTGGGGGCTCCCCTTGAGATACACAGTGACAGGTTGGGGCCCTTTGTAGCTGCCGGAAGGGCGAGTGGTTCCTTCCAATACTCTTTTCTTTGCCTCTCCTGCAGTTCATTGACGGCCGACTTGATCTTCTCAACTCGGGAGAAGGCTTCAGCGATGTCTTTGAGGAGGAGATCAACATGGGGGAATATGCAGGTAAGGGCAGACCCTCGCTTGAGTTGGAAGCACCCCGCTTCTGGCTGCGAAGCGAGAAGGGGTTCGGGCGCTGGGCGGGTTTGCGTGTGGCGTTGTCCTCTGGAGAGTCCGCTCCTGGGCTTGCGGCTTGGAGGGGTCGTCCGTTGGGTGTGCTGACCGTGATTTTGGGCCTGCCGGCTCTTTTCTCTGCATCCCGCCACGCATCTGGAGACGGGTCCTGCCCTTGGGCCTTCACCCAGAGGGAGCGGGGAAAGGCCACAGCAGCAGCTCACACCATCTGCTTGCCCCATTTGCACTGCAACTTTCCTTCTTCGAAAAAGCAGACTCGGAGGAAACGCGGTCGCCCAGACTCTCCAGTGGCGGGCCTTTCTGGAGGCCGGAATAGGTGCCTTCAGGGTTGTGCTTTGGGGTCCGCCGGTAGGTGGGATGCGTGCCGTCCGTTCTCACCTGTGTTCTGTCTCTCGGACAGGTAGCGACAAGCTGTACCACCAGTGGCTGTCGACCGTCAGGGTAAGTGCCCCCGGCTGCGTGGCCCGTCGTCAGCCTGGCTTTGCAGTCAGCCTCCGTCAAAAGCTGCCTTGGCTTAAAGATGCTTCGGCCCGATGGAAGCTCCGTCGGTTCTCCGGATGTCCGGCTGCCGCAAAGCTCGGTGGGGTTTGTGGCCCGGCGACGGCTTCCTCTTCGGAGGTTGAAGCACCACCTTTAACTTAATTGATTCGGGCAAACTGTGTCATCAGATAAATATGTAGGAGTAACAGAGCAAAATAGTTCCCGGGAGCTGACGTGAAACAATCTCTCACTCTTCGTATTACATGCATTTAAAGTAGTAATGGAAAAGGAGCTAATTGCCGGAAATGCTCCAAGAAGAGCGTGTCCGTGGCGGATGGGGACCAGGCGTCCTTGATCACTAAGGGCTCTGAAAAGAATAAAACAAGCCCTCGCTAACACCCACCCGGCTCCTCTGATGTTCTCACAGAATGCCAAATAATGTTCCAAGAACTGAAGAAGGAGAAATGCTATGAATTAATAAAGAAAAAGTCCGGCACTCGAGTGCTAGCCATTTGTGATCAGATTTGTTGGAGTGCACCTCTGCTAATTGTTCTTTAACAACGAGCACAGGACAAACTTAATTACTGCTTTCAAAAGGCCCCTTTGCTTGGGTCAGCCCTTTATTAACGCACCATCCATGTAGTGGGAGGTTATCCATCTTCCGTGCGCAGCAGATTTATCTTTCAAAACAATGCATTATGCAGCAAAAGTCAGCATACACTGCAGAATAAATAAAACACTAACTGGCTGCTAGATTATTCTGTCTGACATACCAGAGTCTTGCACACTTTTCTGCTGCACGAGAAGTTCAGCCTGCCTGCCCACAGCCTCAGACTTTGGAGGAAGAAGAGGCCAGACGCACGCCCTTTCAGACTGAGGAGGAGGAAGGGGCTAGATGCCCTCAGACCCCCTAATTTTTCATGTAGTGGCATTCGGTTTGGAAGCCAAGCTATTTTTTCCTGACTCTGAGCTTTGAAAAGCCAACAGCCCTATCATGATTAGCTTGATGGTTATGCGTTAAAGATGCGTCCACCCTACTCCGTGGAGTTAAGTATGGGCCGAGCAGACAGACGAGAAAATATTTAGTATCCACAATCTCATCCTGCTTCTTTAAAAAATGCTGGCGTAGGGGAGGGAGCCGAAACCCACCAAGTGGCTGAGAACCCCCTTTGGCGTCCGGGACTCGCAGCCGTTCCTGGAGGAGATCATGGGGGATGGCGCTGTGGAAGGAAGAGGACTGTCCCTTTGCGTTCGGGATGCCACATCTCGCCCCGCTAACACTCTGCTGCATTGTTCCTTTTCCCATGTAGAAAGGAAGTGGGGCCATCTTGAATACGGTCAAGACCAAGGCCAACCCCGCCATGAAGACCGTCTACAAATTTGTAAGTGTCGGAGTTGCATCGTGTGTAGAATCCCTGTGGGAACGGTGGGAGATGTTTTAAAGCCCAGCAGATGGCCCGTGGCCTCCAGCTCCCGTGATCCCTTGCCACTGGCTGTGCTGGATGGGACAGATGGGAGTTGTAGGTCAAAACATCTGGCAAGCTGTCAGTTGTCCCCCTTGGTCTTCATACTGCAGAACATGCGCTGGGTATACATTAAGCAGCTTGACCAAATCGACGGGCCGTTCAGCAAGAGAGGGCTAAAGGGCAAGCCATTAATAAATGGGAAAGATTATTTATTTATTTATTTATTTATTTATTTATTTATTTATTTATTTA